CCTGATAATCCTCCGGTATTACGATGATCACCTCTAGATAGCGCCTTCCAGTATCTCCCCTCCTATTGGTTCCCCTCATCCAGGTTGTCCTTGTCCCCATCCCTCAGCCTCTTCAATGCACGCTGATGGTCCAGGCACACCTCAAGTCCTGTGCTTGAGCAATAAAGTGGAAACAAAATGTGGGTGTCAGGCAACCCTTTATGTTGAGCACTGGGGTAGGGCGTGGTGGGTCCATGTGGGCAGGGGCAAAATGAAGAGGGTCACAATCCAGTCCACAAGGAAGGAAGCAGCTTCTGCACACACCCTCAGCTCCAGTGCAGACCACAGCTCCCATCTGTGGGTCCCCATACACCCTCCCTACAGCAGCCCAGCATTAGAATGTTGGGTTTCCCCCCACTAGCAGGGAGAGGAAAATAGAAACATCCAGAAAACTAGGACTGGGCCCAGTGGTTCTGAAGCTGGGTTTGTCTGCTGCCTCTGTTCTGGCAGATGTCGTGGTTGTTTGGTTGAGGGTTCACCTGCATGTATGTCTGCACCATGTGCATGCTTGATGTCTGCAGGCCAGAACAGAGCATCTGGTCCCCTGGGACTCAAACCTGGCTCTTGTGCAAAAGCAGCAAGTGCACTTAATCTCTTGAGCCAGACCTCAGCCCCTTAAGGTACTAAAAAACCTTCAGTGTGCTCCTATGGTTAGACAGCTTTTACTGGAATTAAGGTCCTGGTGAAGTATTTGGGAAACCCACATTCTATCTTAGGAACACACTGTACCTCCTTCATACCTCTTGTAACTGGTTGCCCTTATCAGCCACCTTCAGGTCAGAGCTCATTTTGCCCATACTTTTCAGTGTGAGCTCTCTGGCAGTCTGCCTACCCATATATCTGTAGCTCTCGACACTGTAGAAGATATATATCCACGGGAAAGTTTCAGGTCTTCAGCTTGTATCTGCTAGTTCCCTTAGTGGCTGTAAGTCCAGGTATGGGCTGAGTTTTAAGTCTGGTTCCTTTAGGTATTTCTAACTTTGACTCTAGTCCACTTAGTGATTCCATGAGCACATAGTGAGATGGTCTTTAAAAACAAAATGAGTTGCATGATCTATGTGTGTACAGTACCCTTGGATGGCAAAAGTGGGTGTTAAATCCCTTGGAGCTACAGGTAGAACTGCTTGTGAGCCACCTACCTGGGTGACAGGAACTGAACCCAGGTCCTCTCCAAGAGCAGCAAGTGCTCCCAGCCTCCTCTCCAGGGCATCCAGTGCCCTCTGACTTACACTGTCACTGGAGTTTACATGGCATACTGGGCTAGAGCTCCAGCACCACATGAACCTTCCAGAGGATCAGGACTTCAAGGTTATCTTCAGCTGCCTGAGCTATGTAACACCGTCTCAAAAAAAAAAAAAGGCCAATTGGTGGTGGCACTCACCTTTAATCCCAGCACTTGGAAGGCAGAAACAGGCAGATCTCTTGTGAGTTTGAGACCAGCCTGGTCTACAAGAGCTAGTTTCAGGACAGCCTCCAAAGCCACAGAAAAACCAAAAAAAAAAAAAAAATTTAGAAAAGACAAACATGTCTGCTTGAGGTCAAGTTCTTTGAACTAGCCCAAACTAGGTCACGGGATTCAGCACAAGTCTTGAGCTTTGTTGTCCACAGTGCATGAATAAAAAGCTCCTAAATTATGTTCATGTCTGAAAACTTGAAATTCCAAGAACTTAAAATTTGACTCCACTTTGATAGAGCAAGGGAGATGGAAAAGACCTAGTTTATTGATACCATTAAACTGTCTCGTGAAACTATTTTGATGTGATTTTTATGTCTAAAAATAATCCTGCTACATCTTAAACTGCTGGGTTGCTGCTCATGTTTTCTGCACACCTGGACCCTGCTCACTCACACTACAGCATTTATGCAGGGAATGTGCCCAGAAAGCCCAGCAGCAACTGGTGTCCTGGGCTGTTAATGCGGCTTTCTAGGCAGTCCCTCACTGTGCTGCTTAAGTATTTCCAGTCTCTTCCACCTATGATTGGACACTCGTCCTTACATATCTTCTCTGTCTGCCCCTACATCATTGTTTAGAGAGCTAACCCGCTCTCTAAAATGGCATGTGCCTTGAGAGGCTCCCCATCGCATCCAGGCTGGAGATGAGAGTCCCAGCCTTGGTATCCCACAAAGTCTATAAGGCCTGATGCCATTTGCTGGGTGCACCTGTGCCATCCCCTGAGAGCACCTCAAGTAAGTTGTGTGTTCCATGTGGACTGGAAAAAAGAATGACAACACTAAGAACTAGAAAAATATTCTTAACAAGAAAATAATTGCTAGGAAAAGGGATCCAGTCTTTTAGCCATGTAATGCTCAGCCATTTGTTCCACTGTAATGAACAATGTGCTCAAAGGACGTCAGTGAGTAAATGCTTGCACAAGCATGAGGACATACTATCAGATCCCTAGCACCCAGGTGAAAACTGGGAATCAATGTATGCCTGTAACTCTGGAGCAAGGTGGTGGCACAGTTCACTAGCCAGACAGACTACCAGGTTAAGTGAGAAACTGGCTCAATAAGATGGAAGAAGCAATTGGGGAAGATGTTTCAAAATCAACCTCTGGCTTTCACATATGTCCACATGGTCAAGCACACCCACACATGCAAGTGCAGAGACATACACAATAGTTTATAATCTTCCTTTAGGGACTGTCTAACTTTATTTGGCTCTCTTGGTTGGCAAAAGACCTGGCATCCAAGATGTGAATGACATGGCATGACCTTGGTGGTGATAACTACAAACAACCAGACACTGCCAACAAGAAGTTCAATGATGGAGATGACCAGTGGAGTACTGGTCAGAAGGGGAGTCAAGAATTTGGGTCAGACCAGGGCATATAGTGGGAGGAGTAGGCTGATGCTTTTTCATCCTGTCCTAAGTATTAATATGTGTGTATTATAATTTTATTCAGAAAAAAATAATAAAGCACAACAAAACACAAATTGCTTATATTCAGACACAAACACTTCAAAGTTGGTTTTGTTTTCCCACTACTTAAAACCTAATAGGAAGTTTAGGGCTTGAATAAGGCTGACGAGTAGAGAGCAGGTGGGTGGACATAAGTTACTAAGAGTTTGTTGGCCCAGGCACACCTGTGTGACCCAGACCTTCCAATGAATCTGGTTGCCCTCACAGTTCACCCTCACAGACAGAAGCTGGTAACCATTTATCCTGGAGTGGATCTGCAGTCCCCAGTACTGATCCAGACTGTCTCCTGCTTGCTCTTTTTCCCTGTGTTTTCAGCTGTCAGATCCACTGAGACCAAATCCATCATTTTCCCAGCCCTAGGGTAGAAAGGGCTCACCCTCAGCCTTCTTTGACTACCTTAAACATAAAAAGTAGGACCATCTCTGGTCCAACATACTTGTGTGTTTGTTTCCATTGAGAAACCATGTGGAAATTAGCCTAAGCTTGCACATTTAAAACTTAAGGAAAGAGAGAGAGCACGGCGAGAGAGAGCCTCACATGTTTCAGGCTGGCCTCAGACTATGAGATTGAAGATAACCCCAACAGCCAGGCAGTGGTGGTGCATGCCTTTGATCCCGTCACTCAAGAGGCAGAGGCAGAGGCAGAGGCAGGCAAATCTGAGTTTGAGGCCAGCCTACTCTACAGAGCAAGTTCGGGGACAGGCTCCAAAGATACACAGAGAGGCCCTGTCTGGGGGGGGGGGGGGTTTAATAACCTGGAACTTCTGAACTACTGTCTCTACCTCCTGAGTGCCAGGAAGGTAGGCTGTTTGTTTGCTTGCTTGCTTGGTTTTGTTTTGTTTTTGAAACAGTCTCCTGTAACCAAAGCTGGCATAGAACTAGCTCAAGGCTGACTTTGAAATCTTGATCCTCCCACCTACTCCCACGTGTTGGAATTACAGGCAAGAGCTACCACATCTAACTTAGTATCCCTGTTGTCTTAACGAGACACCTTAAAAGAATGGCAGAACGGCAGAACCTGACTCGACAGGGAAAAGGATCCCAAAGCAGCCAGCGTGAGACCCACCTGAAAGAGGCAGCTTTGTGCTGGTTGAGGGGGTCCCACACCATGCAGCCAATCCAGAAACCCAGCAGCCCTCACTTAGCCACGAACTGCAACAGTGACCAAAAAGCTCCTTGGATCAAACATCTTGGTTTGAGTCTCACGTCTACCACTTTCGGCCAAGTTACTCAATCTTGCCGAACGAGTTTTCCTCATCTGAAGAAAATAGTTAAAGCTTACATAGTTGTGTTGATTTTATTAAATATGTGAAGTGTGCTTGGCAATAGGTGTTTTTCACTACAAAGGACACAGCATTAAATTTTTTTCACTATAATCCAAGTTGTATACGTAAATGTAAACAAGAAACAACACTTTCACAAAATAGTACTTTTTTTTTTTTTTTTAATTTTTCGAGACAGGGTTTTCCTATGCAGCTTTGAAAGCTGTCTTGGAACTAGGTCTTTGTAGACCAGACTGTTCTTAAACCCACAGAGATCCGCCTGCCTCTGCCTCCCGAGTGCTGGGAGAAAAGGCGGTGTGCACCACCACTGCCCAGCTTACTAGGGTCTTTTTGCATTCATATTTTTAAATATTTTGTGACGACTGTCTCGGTGCATGTGATCTGCGCATCACAAGGGAGGGTGTCTGGGAAGCCAGAAGAGTGAGTGTGTCTGGCTTTGGATCCCCTGGAACTGACGTTACCGATGGGTGTGAGCATCACGTCGGGTCTGTTTTGAGTTGACTCTGGGTCCTCTGCAAGAGCAGCAAGTGCTCTTAATTACTGAGCTATCTTTCTGACCTCTTAATTTTTTTATTGTGGGTTGCAATCCATTACGTTGTGTTGACAACTCCGATTGGGTAATTTCATAAAAGAACTGTTGGGAAACATACAATGTTAATTATGACAGCTATTAGTACGACCTGCTGACGGTTTGCCCTAAGAGGAAAGAGTCAGGCCCCAGGTCTCAGGTCGGCTGCAGCACGGAAGGCCCGCCTCCTCCCCCAAGGTTAGGAGAAGAAAGCCGGAACTGGAGGCTCGGTCGGTGACGCAGACTTCCGGTCTGGTGGCCTTAACGCGCGCGGCTGTCGCGAGGACTCGGGGGTCGCTTGACGCGGTGGCCCGCCTCAGCCCTCCGCAGTGCCATGAGGTCGGTTAGCTACGTGCAGCGCGTGGCGCTGGACTTCAGCGGGAGCCTCTTCCCGCACGCCATCTGCCTCGGAGACGTCGACAACGACTCGGTGAGTGCATGCGCACTGCAAATGACTGCACTTGGGCGGGGCGAGAGGTGGGGAGGGGCCTGTGGTGCGCGTGCGCACTGGAGGCAACATGGCGTACGGGTTGATTGACAGTCTCAGATCCTGAACTACACTGCGGGTGGCTTAGTTGGGCTGGAACCTCTTGAACAGTTTTTTATTTGGTTGGTTGATTTTTTGTTTTTGGGGTTTTGTAGTTTTAAATTTTACGTTTGGAATGTGTTGCCTTCATGTAGATCTGTTTATCGTGTGTGCAGTGCACGTGGTGTTACAGATAACTGTGAGCTGCCCCTTGGGTGCTGGGAATTGAACCCTGTTGTCATTGAGTCATCTCCCCACCCCATTATTATTAGTAACTTTAATAGATAGAAAGTGGTCCTCGCGCAGTTCAGTGACTTGTCACAGTAGGCACCTTGTAAAGCAGTGGTCAGGTTTCCTGCATTATTGCCTACCCTAATCAAAATACCCTTTCAAAACACTTTACCAGCCAGGAGGTGAAGGCGCAAGCCTTCGAGCCTAGAATTCGAGAGGCAGAGGCAGGAGGATCTCTGGGAGTCCCAGCCCAGCCTGGTCTAGAGAGTGAGTTCCAGGACAGGATCCAAAGCTACAGAGAAATCGTGTCTGAGGGTGGGGAAGCAGGGAGCATTCTTTGCCTTTCAACGCCCCAATTTTTTGTTTGTTTGTTTGTTTGTTTTAGGAGACAGCATTTCTCTGTAACAGCCCTAGTTGTACTGGAACTGCTTTGTAAACCAGGCCTCAAACTCAGAGATCCGCCTCCCAAGTGCTGAGCTTAAAGGTGTGCTCCACCACTGTCTGGCACCGCAATTTTTTTAACCTATAAATTTTATTTAATAGTATCTCTCTACCTATGGCTTTGACCCTCCCACCCTCTATGCAGCCATGCTTGCACACTTGCTGCTGGTACCCCACAATGAGTCTTGATCATATCGGGCTTCTACTGTGCCTACCTAGAATAGACTTAGGTGTCTGGCGACTTTGTAGTGCTACCTTTTTGTTGAATTACAAAAGCAATTTCCACCAGCTTTTTTCTTTACTAGATGGTTGTTCTTTTTCTTTTCTCATCATTTAAATAAATAAATACAGATTAAGTAGATGAAAATGTATCATTTCACATCCTGGCACATAGTTAAAGCTCTGGAACTGTTAGTGTTATCTGTATTGGCAGCCCTCCCAATCCCAATGCTATATGTTCAGGATTCACCTGACCTACATAGGAAATACTTCAAGAGGAAAAAAAAATGGGTCTGTACTAAACATGTCCAGTTTTCATTTATTGACACCATTACTTAAACAGCAGGGCATAGCAACTACAGCCCTAATGAAAGAGATACTTTTGAGGAATGCATTGTTGGGTTACTTTATAGTCCTAACATCATACTGTGTGCTAACACACACCAGAATGGCTTTTATCCTAACATATAGATCCCTCCATTGATCAAACTATGCAGCATGGGTCTGTATTCATATGGCCATCAGGATGATTTAAAGGATATGGTAGCAGCCTAAGGATATAGCTACCAAACACTTGCCTAACCACGAATAAAGCCCTAGGTTGAATTCTAGGTACCACAAAAATAAATAAAATTATAAGAATTAAGCTGGGCATGGTGGCACACGCCTTTAGTCCCAGAATTTTGGAGGAAGAAGCAGGCAGATCTTTGAGTTCAAGGCGAGCCTGCTTGACACAGCAAGTTCCAGGACTACACAAAGAAACCTTGCCTCAACAAAAAGAGGGAGGGAGAAAAAGGGAGGAAGGAAGGAAAGAAGAAAAAGGTAATTAAAATGTCTAGGAGGTTATATGCAAACACTATGATTACATGCCCTACAGACACAGAGGTTTAACTGTAATTTATGCTGTCCTTATTTTTCTTACCGACATTGTGAATGCCATTACTTACATTCCATAAGGATAGGGTGTGTGTGTGTGTGTTTTGTGTGTGCGTGCATGCACGTGCACGTGCGTGTGTGCAGGTACCCTCAAAAGCACACACCTGGAACTGAAGTTACAAATGGTTGTGAGCTGATGTGTGGATCCTGGGAACCAAAACTGGTTTAATCTTCGAGAGCAGCACTGAGCCAATCTCTTTATCTCCACACTAATTTTAAAATACTTACTTATTTGCATGTGTGAGTGACAGGGCGGATGCGCACACAAGCCATAGTGCAGGTATAGAGGTCAAAGGACAACGTGAAGGCTTTCTCTCATCTACCATATAGACACTGCACAGGGATCAAACTCGGATTTTTAATTTAAAATTGTTATTAAAGGAAAATGTAAAAAAACAAAATGTTGTATGGTGGAGGTGTTGGTCCCAGTGCTAATTTTTAAAGGGGCGGGTTGCTTGAGAGATGGCTCAGCAGCTAAGAGCACTGATTTCTCCCAGAGGATCCTGGTTCAATTCCCAGCACCCACGTGGCAGCTAACAATTATCTGTAACTCCAAGATCTGACTCCCTCACACAAACATACATACATGCAGGCAAAACACTAATGCAAAAAAAAAAAAAAAAAAAAAAAAAAAAAAGAAAGAAAAGAAAAAGGCAAAGCAAATGAGATTCATAGCTACCTGAAGAGCTTTGTGCATTATTAGGGAGAAAGGTGGAAGAAATTGAAAAAAATTAACTAGTTAGTAAATGATCATCTGTAGCACACATGACTGTACCCAGTGGTAGGGCACGTGTCCAGAATGTATGAGACTGTATTCTTTCCCTATGACGATTCCATAAAGGGAAAAGAATTGCTGCTTAGTGTGGTACACATCTGTGTTTTCCGCACTCAGGAGGCAGAAGCAGGAGGATCACTGCAAGTCTGTGGTCACCCTGATCTGCGTAGCAAATTCCAGGCCACCCCAGACTGCATAGTGAAAGGCTGTCTACATGGTTTGTGTGCTGGGCAGTGGTGGTGGATCCATCTCTGTGTGTTTAAGGCCAGCCTGGTCTACAGAGTGAGTTCCAGGACAGCGAGGGCTCCACAGAGAAACCCTGTCTCAGGGGAAAAACAAAGCAAACATGATTTGTAGTTCCCAAACATTTGGAGCTTTGGGAGTGGGAACAAAGGCTGATTTCAGCCTGATAAACCCTTAGCCTACAGTTCTTTGAGGCTGATTTATTTCCTGCTGAGATGGAGGGAGAAGCCAGGAATGAAACATGCTTTTGGACTGCGCACAGGAGCCTGGCTGGATGTGGCATAGCAAGCCTTTGGGGAGGCTAAAGCAGATCACAGAAAGATCACACCTGTCTGCTTAGCACTCCTGAACATGACAGATCTTCCCTCCGGGGTTCTTTGATGTGGCTGTGACCTGGTGGGACCAGAGCTAAGCTCTGTCAGAGCAGCAGGTCTGATGAGAGACATTCAAGTGTTAGAAAGCAGGCAGCCGCCCTGGAAATGGCTTCTCCCACATGTTGCCTCAAGCTGCCCGCCTGAGTCACATCTGCTTGCTGTTTTATGATTCTGTTTTATGATTTCCAGAGTCTGTGGCTCTGAAAAGCCGAGAGGTCCTCAGCCAGAAGGCCGCCTAGAACCTGGGGGGCTGGTGGCCATTCTAGGAACGGGAGGGCTGGTTGGTCATTTTCTCTCATTTCTACTTTTTCTTGCTTTGATAAAGCCTCACAATGTACTACCCAGGCTGGCCTGGAATTTACAATCCTCCCCACTTTTCTCAACCTCTGGGTGCAGGCATTATAGGTACTCACACCATCGTAGGCTCCTCAGCATTTTATACAAGAAAAGATGTAAGCAGGGACAGCAGATAAAGACACTTACCACCAAGTTAGGTGATATGAGTTTGGTCTGTAGGACCCACGTGGTAGGAGAGAGTCGATTGCTGCAAATTGTCCCGTACACATACCACGTGGTGCACTAGTGCGTGCATGCATGCGTATGTGTGTATGTGTGCATGGACACATACATATACAAGTAAATACCTGTAATTTTAAAAATCTTTGTCTTGGGAACACAAGGATAATTTTATTAGAAGTTAAAGGGGAAACCTCCTGGCAGGTAAGCTGTCAACCATCACCAGCTGCCTGAGATGGAGAATGGAAGAGAGAAGGGAAAGGCCATGCCATTTTATCTGGAAACAAGGTCAGACTCATGTCCCACAAGCAGCTGCATGGTGGGGAGAGGCGCTTTAGAAAAAAGGAAGGAAGCCTGAAATGCCCTTTAAAAGCTTAGTGTTAGGGCAAGCATGCTTAGAGAAGACAGAAAGGGAAGGAAAGCTGTACTTCCCTGAATAACCCAGAAATGCAAGCCAACCTTCAGCTCTACACGGGTGTGGCCCATAAGTCTGCCTTAAAATTTTTAAAAAGTGTAATCAGGGTTGGAGAGGCAGCTTAGTGGCTAAGAGTACTGGCTACTCTTCCAGAGGACCCCAGTTTGCGTCCAGGGCTCATGGGCTTACAACTATCTGTAACTCCAGTTCCAAGGACTCTGACACCCTCTTCTGACCTCTGAGGACACCAGGCATGAACATGGTGCACATTCAGACATGCAGACAATCACCCATATACATGACACAAAAATAAATCAATCTTTTAGAGAGAGAAGCCAGGTGTGGTGGGATACACCTTTAATCCCAACACTCAGGAGGCAAAGGCTGGCCCATCTCTACAGAGTGTTCCGTAACATCGAGGGCTATTACACAGAGAAACCCTGTCTCAAAAGACCAAGGAGAGTGAGAGAGAAAGGAGTAAAAATGGCATCAGAAAGGTATGTGTTAAAATCCAGCAGTTGCGCTCTGAACCCTTACACTGAATCCTCTACAGCATCTGCAAAGGTTCAGGTGGCTGTAATTGAGACCTCAGCTGTGGGAGGCTGTAAATAAGCAGACTATGACCTCATACTCCTTTTTGTTTGTTTTTCCTTTTTGTATAACCTTGCACAAAACTCCTAAACTATTAAAGAGACTCTTTAACAGCCAAATCATGTCAGTCCCAGTTTGCCTCAGACATCTTCCGTTGGGGGTGGTCTCATATAGCTGGCTCTAGCATACCCTTGTCACCACATGAGGCGCCCTTACTGTTGTTGGTGTCTTAAGAATCTACTGTTAGCGTCCTCTCTGTGGGGGAGACATTGTCTTCTTCCCAAGAGAAGATTAGGAAACTGTAGAAATGGGGTTTGGAGCCATGTGGTTATCATGATGAGCTCCCCAAATGGATCACAGTGGTGGGGGAGAGGCCCCATGAAGGGACCCTCCTTCCCCCAGAGGCAGGATGCTGACACCAGCATCACCTTCAGACCAGCCCCTCAGACAGGTCCTTTCCTCTGTGTTCCCATAAAAAATCATTAAAATTCAGGGGTCTTGTGAGAAGAGATGGGGGCCCTGGGAACTGGCTTCGTATCTTTGACCTCTGACAAAATAGGAAGTGTGAAGGAATATTTTTCCAAAGTTCACTGTTGGACCGTTTTCAAAACATGTCCCATTTGAAATGGACAAGGGAGAGTAGCCAAGGCCAGGGTTTTGGGCGGAGAGCTGTACGGAGAGCTGACTACCTGAATTACTGCTCTTGTGTAGAACCTTGCAATTGCTCGCACACGGAAGTAAGTTCTGGGAAACTGACTTTTGGTTCTTAAGGATTTGTTTGTTGTGGGTTCCCTTTGCTTCACCTGTGCCAGGGCAACTGCTCGGCTACTGAGCCACCCCTCATCCCCAGGCAACCAAGTCTCAGAAGATTTTTTTTCTCCTGAAACTCATTCTTGCTATGTAACCCAGCCTGGCCTTGAACTCGCTATCCTCTGGCTTCAGTCTCCTGAGTGCTGGGATCACAGGCCGATCTACCATACCTCTCAATACCTTTTTTTTTAAATAAAAGTCAGTATTCCAGGCTGGCCTCCTATTTGCTATGTGACTTGAGAATGACATCAAACTTCTGACACCATGCCAGTGGTGTGTGCCACGGCGCCTGTTTCTCTTGTTGTTGTTCTGAGACACTATGTGTCCCTGACTGTCCTGAAACAGTCTGTATGCCAGACTGGTTTTTAACTCACAGAGATCCTCCAGCCTCTGCCTCTGGAGGACAGAGATCAAAGGGCATGCCACCACACCCACCGACCATGCCTAGTTTTATATAGTGCTGGGGATAGGAACCTCAGGCATTTTAGACAAAGCAGGTACCAACCGAGCTACCCCTGCAGCCCATCAAAGGCTTTTAAATGATGTTCTGGTTTTTCCAGAAACAAGCTAATCTGATAAGGGGTTCAGTAGGATCCCTTCCTAACATCTTTCTCTCTCGTTTGCAGTTAAATGAACTGGTAGTGGGAGACACCAGTGGAAAACTGTCCGTGTATAAGAATGATGACAGCCGGCCCTGGCTCACCTGCTCCTGCCAGGGAATGGTCAGTATTCATCTCTGCCGCTCTTGGGAAGGAGCTGGGGTGCCTTTGTGTTAGGCTGCCAAGGAGTCCCACTGGGAATTCCCCAGCAGCTCAGCAGAGTCACAACCTCACAGTGTGTTTGACTCGGGGAGGGTAATACCAAGAACTGCTCTCTCTCCTCTGTCGTCGCCCTTTCTACTCTCCCACAAATCTTAGTTTGCTTTCTGTTGCTGCGATAAAGGTCAATGACCAAAAATAATCTGGGGAGGAAGGACCTTCTTTCAGCTTACAGTTTATACTCTCGTGAAGTCAGAAGTCAGAGCAGGAGCTATAGGCAGGGACCTGGGAGCATGAACTAGAGAACGGGCCCGCTTTCTTACACAACCCATGATCACCCGCCTGGGGCTGGGCCCTCCCACATCTAACGAATTAAGAAATAGCCTACAAGCAATCTGATGGAGCCATGTTCTCAATGAGGTTTCTCTTCCCATGTGGCTGTGGCTTGTGTCAGTTTGACAGGAAAAAGAAGACGGCTGTATTGTCCTTTGTGTTGTGTTGTGTTGTGCTTTACGGAGGCCACCTAAGATTGTCTGATGGTATGCAGTGCAATCGTGCATTGGTTACCAGCAAGGAAGTGTTCTGAGAAATGCATTGTTGGGTACTGTCATTATGAAGTGACCACCACAGCATTTGTATAAGCTAAGAGAGCCACTGTGTTCCCTTAGTCTTATGAGGTGGGGTCTTGCTTTGTAGTTCAAGCTGGCTTCAAACTTCCAGTCCTGCCTCGGCCTCTTTTTTTTTTTTTTCTGTATTTGAAGAAAGAATTTCTCTGTGTAGCCCTGCCTCTCCTGGAACTCCCTCTGAAGACTAGGCTGACCTCGAACTCACAGAGATCCACCTAGCTCTGCCTCCCGAGTGCTGGGACTAAAGACATACACCACCACTGCCCAGCTATGTGATGGAGTCTTATAGGTCAATAATAATATATGTGATGTGCTGTTGACTAAAATGTCCTCATATAATCTGTGTCTGTATAATAAAAAATGGGGATGATAATTGTAATAATCTAGAAATATCATAATCAAGCTAATTTCCTGTTTGGTGGGGCTTTTGGGGAGATGCTTATGTAGCTCTAGATGGGCTGGAATTCATGACCGTTCTGCCTCAGCCTCCTGAGTGCCGGAAGAGTACAGGTGTGCACCACACAACTAGGTTTGTTCATTTTTACCTGTCTGAATTTTCATTTACTTGGGTCTCCACATTGCTGTATGGATAAACCAAACTATAACTCAATGTGTCTATTAATAAAGACTACTCATATAGATCACATGACACAAGCTTTAGATGATTAGGGAGAAACAGTCTCTTGATGCCACCATCAGCCTCCCTTTCTCTCTTGCAGCTGACTTGCATTGGGGTTGGAGATGTGTGTAATAAAGGAAAGGTAAGGACTGGGGGCATCTTGGGCTAGGGTAGAACTCCAATCCTTCCTCCATTGTGACTCCCTGGGAAAGTCAGCCCTGGCCCTTGAGATCTGCTTATCAGCCTCATTCTCCAACCCGTACACCTCTCCTGTACCTCTCTCTCCCCCAGAACCTGGTGGTGGCAGTCAGTGCAGAGGGCTGGCTTCATTTATTTGACCTGACATCCACCAAGGCTCTGGATGCTTCTGGACACCATGAAACTCTTGGAGAGGAGCAGCGTCACGTCTTCAAGCAGCACATCCCAGCCAACACCAAGGTCATGCTGATCAGCGACATCGGTGGGTGTTTACATTTTCTTTTTTGATTTTGTTTTACTTTATTTCCATTTGTTTGATGCATGGTTACTGAGCTCTTGTTATAAACTAGGAACAGTTCTAGGTTCTAGAATTACAAAAGTGAATAAAGCAAACAAACAAAAGAAAATCATTCTCAGATCTTACTAGGAAGTGACAAAATACATTTTATAAGAAAATTAAATAGCCGGGCGGTGGTGGTACATGCCTTTTATTCCAGCACTCAGGAGGCACAGGCAGGCAGTTCAAGACCAGCCTGGTCTACAAGAGCTAGTTCTAGGACAGCTGAAGAAACCCCATCTTGAAAAACCAAAAAGAAAAAAAAAAAAAAAGAAAGAAAGAAAGGAAGGAAGGAAGAAAGAAAATTAAATAATGAGGCTGGGAATTTGGCACAGGATTAGAAAGAACACTTATCCAGCGTGTAACAAGCCTGAGTTCAATCCCAGCCAAAAATCAGGTAGTAAGTGCTGTGAACAAAATAAATCACAGGCTGAAGCTATCAAGGTAGAGGCAGCAATTTTAAAGATTTATTTGTTTAGTTATGTGTGTTGGGGTGGAGTGTGCACATGAGTGAAGATCAAATCCCCTGTAGTTGGAGTTACAGGAAATTGTGAGCCACTTGACATGGGTGTTGGGAACCTAAGGCAGTTTCCTCTGGAAGAGCAACAAGGACTCTTAACTGCTGAGCCAGACCCAAAGGAAGTTAAATGGAGTTCTCAGGGACACTTGCTAGAAAGTGGCATTTGGTAAAGAGCTGAAAGTGGTAGGAGAGTGAGCTGTAGAGACATGAGGTTGCTGATTGGCCAGAAGCTGTCTAGGTAGTAGGTGTGTGGGATGGGTCATGGTGCTGTGCCATGGATACAGGAAGCAGAGAGCAGAGACGATGGATGCTGCATAGCACTGCAGTGAGAAACTGCAGGAACACAAGGCCAGGCAGGGATGGACAGTAACCACAGGGTGTGGCAAATGGCTCAGAAGACTGGACGTGAAGGCACACACAACTGGAAAGGTAGCCACAGCCCAAGCTAACCAGTCAGGTTTGGCTCCAAATCCATTGCTTCTGTGCCTACAGATGGAGACGGCTGTTACGAGCTGGTAGTAGGATATACAGACCGTGTAGTACGGGCCTTCCGCTGGGAAGAGATGGCCGAGGCGCCTGAACACCTGACAGGGCAGCTGGTGTCCCTCAAGAAGTGGATGCTGGAGGGTCAGGTGAGAAGAGAAGCCGAGTCTGGGGTCCTAAGAGCCCAGTGAGTAGAAAGGGCTCCCAGAGAAGGAGCCAGGTCACTTCCAGGCAAGGCCCCGGTGGAGTTCTAGTCACAGGTAGAGTGCAGAGAATGGTGAGTAAGAATCCAGTGTGTGGCATGAGCCGTGGCTGGATCTGGTGGGGCACAGCAGAAGGCAGATGGTCTGTGGGGGGGATGGTGCCGGACAAGACTCTGAACCTTAGAACTCCCCCTGTCCCCATCAAACTGGAGGGTGATTCTTAGAGGCCCTGCCCCTGTGTCCCCTGGTGCAGGTAGACAGTCTCTCTATGACCCCGGGGCCTCTGGGTGTGCCTGAGCTGATTGTGTCGCAGCCAGGGTGCGCTTATGCAGTTCTACTATGTACCTGGAACAAGGACACTGGCTCCCCTCCTGCGTCTGAGGAGGCCGCAGGAGACAGTAGGTAAGGGGGCGAGGTGGTGGGTACACCAAAGTTAGGACAGGGCGACATGGTGGTAAGACAGGTCTGCAGGTGCCAGGGCTCCATCACTTGACCCCGTCAGAAAAGACTGTCTGGGGACCGGAAGTCCTGGGCTTTAACCTTACAGCATGGGAGCAGGGTGAGCCGGTCTTTGCAGAGATCCCACCTCAAATTCGGGTCTCGGGACTCCCGCCTGGCAGCCCCATCACGTCTCTTCCCTTTGCTGCATGAGTCAGAGGGGGCAGGGGGGAGGGGCTTCTGAAACCCAAGCTCCTGCAATGATGCCGGATAACAGGCCTAGAGAACTCAGCTCCCTTGTCTCCTGTTGTCCCGGTCTCCCTTTTACCCACAGGGAGACCCCAGCTGCCCGAGACATAGTGCTGCACCAGACATCTGGCCGGATCCACAACAAGAACGTTTCCACTCACCTAATTGGCAACATCAAGCAAGGTAAGGAGGGGAAGGAGCTGGAGAGCAAGGCAGTTCTGGGAGAAAGGAGACCCAGGCCCTTGCCCTTATTCCTGCCTCCGTCCCCCACACAGGCCTTAACCCTGAAACTGGTAACTCCGGCCTCTTTGCCCTGTGCACCCTAGATGGTGAGTTGTCCTGGGCTGGATGAGATGGGCATCTGCCTGAGGGGTGTGCTCAGAAGCCCAGCACACACATACTAACAAACATAGCCCACACACACACATGCCTCCCACATACATGCTCACACACCAGCACATGCATACATACACTAACATAGTCCCCCCCCCACACACACACATGCCTCTCACACACATGCTCACACACCAGCACATGCACACACACACACACACACTAACAAACATAGCCCACACACACGTATAGCCTCCTACACACACGCTCACACACCAGCACATGCGCACACACACACTAACAGAGCCCCACACATGCCACACACATGTACAGCCTCCTACACACATGCTCACACACCAGCACATGCACACACACACACACTAACAGAGCCACACACATGCACACACACACTAACAAACATAAACATAGCCCACACACATGTACAGCTCACACACACGCTCACACACACCTCTCTTCCTGCAGGGACGCTGAAGCTGATGCAGGAAGCAGACAAGCTCCTGTGGTCTGTACAGGTGGATCACCAGCTCTTTGCCCTGGAGAAGCTGGATGTCACGGTGAGTGGACTCTTGTCCTTTCCGAGAGTCATTCATTTATTTACTTTTATGTGTGTGTGTTTTGCCTGCATATATGTCTATGTGCCACATGTGTGCCTGGTGCCCACAGAGGCCAGAAAAGGGCATCAGATCCCCTAGAACTGCCGTTGCAGATGCTTGTTAGCCGCTTTGTGGGTGCTGGGAATCAAACCCAGGTACTCCAGAAGAGAAACCAGTGTTCTTATTGCTTAGTTCCAGCCCCATGAGAAGACATTTAAATGCAGTCATTCTCACATCCATCAACAGTGAGCCTTTACCTTAGACCTGAAACGAGTGTGTCCCTCAATCTACACTCAAGTGTGCCCTTAAAACACAGAATTTAGTACTTCTCTTTGAGGTTGCTAGAAAATTATTTGCATGCCTTTCAACCAAAAATAATAGGCCTAAAGAAAGCAGGCTATAGGTCTAAAAGCGGGTTGTCTTGTATTTTTGTTTTTGTGGTTTTTTTGTTTGTTTTGTTTTGTTTTTGTATCCATGAGTCTGTTTGCTATGGCTATAGTCCTCAATTGACAGATGGGCCTACATTGGTTACACTGCTGTGGTACGTGCTAGATGGCTTTGAGTGGTACAACAGACCTGTGCTTGGGACTTGCCCCTGCCTGTGACCTTAGGCAAGTGACTTTATCCCTCTAAGAAATTTCCCAATGTAAAACTGAGAATAGCTGGGCAGTGATGGTGCATTTAATGCCTTTAATCCCTGTACTCTGGAGACAGAGGCAGGCGGATCTCTGTGAATCCAAGCCAGCCTGGTCTACAAATCGAGTTCCAGGACAGGCTCTAAAGCTACACAGAGAAGCCCTGTCTTGGGGAGAAAAGAAGAAAAAAACCCGAGAATACTGTCTGTATCTTAGTGTTGCTTGCATTACCTATTGCCCTGTCGGGCACTTGGCACGTGGAAGAAATACCCCAGTTTATAGCTATGGTCCAGTCAAGCTCATGGCCCTGTATAGCTCACTGCCCCCACCCTCCCATCAGATCTTGTGTTCTTTTCGGGTACAGGATCTTGCTGTGTGCCCTGTAGCCCAGGCCGCCCCCACCTCTGCCTCGCAAACCTGAGACCACAGGTGTATGCCACTACATCTGACTAGGTGTCTTTCTAAAATGGCCCCTAACCCTTCTGGTATCATCTTTGACCGTTTTCAGGGCAATGGGCTTGAGGAGGTGGTAGCATGTGCCTGGGATGGGCAGACATACATCATCGATCACAACCGCACCGTCGTCCGCTTCCAGGTGGATGAAAACATCCGTGCCTTCTGTGCAGGTGGGACAGCGGCCTTTAAGCTCAGCTATTCAAGCTTAGTGAATGTGCTGGAAAGTGACTGACTTGTTTCCATTCCCTGTGGCTGCTGATAGGCGTCTTCATACATGAATGGGTTCCTTAGCTTTCACTGTGGGTGATGGATGATACCACACTGCCATCTTGACAGTTTGTTTTTTAATTGGGGTGGGAGGGGGTGATGAGCGTTATTTATTTTTATGCCTCTGAGTGTTTGCCTGAATGTCTGTGTACCATGTCTGTGCAGTGCCCACAGAAGCCAGAAGAGGGCATCACATCCACAGAACTGGAGTTTACATTTGCCTGTTAGTAATTGAACCTGGTTTCCTGAAAGAGGAACCAGTGCACTGAGCCATCCCTCCAGCCCCGTTAGGGCAGTTTGGAATCAGACGTAAGGCACAGTGAGGGCTCCATCTCTAATAATGGGATGACTGTGGGAAGGTGTTTCCAGCTGAGCATGCCAGGTTTAAGAAAATGCTTCCAGAGTATTCTCTGTAACCCTAAACTGGGGACTTTGGAAAGCTGCAGTACCTATTTGAGTGACAAGGATATATATGGCTACTGAAATGACATTGGGGTGACAGTATAGCTTGGTGTAGAGCCTTGGCTGGCATGCACAAAGCTGTGGGCCCAGTCTCCAGAACCCCAAAATTAGTGGAAGAAGCTGGGAACCCCAGCTACCTGAAAGGTTGGTGTGTGCTCTGGAAGAAAGAAACACGCCAAGAGAAGCCTTTCTCTCTGGTTGTTTTGTTAACCTGCCCCTTGGATTAGCAGGGCTATCTCTCTTTGCTCCAGAATATCACTAAGATAAGAAGACTTAAAATACATCTTTTGGGGTGCTAACTGTATCTTTTCCATGTCTAGAATGTGCTACATGTTTTACCATTTTATGTTTTATACTGAGTTCTTCCAGAAGAAATAGGAAAGGGGCCTTGGTTGAGTGCTATCTATGGAGGGCTAATATTGCTGCCTCTGATGTTCTCTCGTCCTTGCCTGCCCTCCTCCTGCCCCAGGGCTAAGTCTTGACCCTTGTCTTCTTGCCCCCATCTCCCAGGCCAGTACGCCTGCAAAGAGGGCCGCAATAGCCCCTGCCTGGTGTATGTCACCTTCAACCAGAAGATCTATGTGTACTGGGATGTGCAGCTGGAGCGGATGGAGTCCACTAACCTGCTGAAGCTGCTGGAGGCTGAGCCTGAGTACCACCGCCTCCTGCAGGAGCTGCGTGTGGGTGAGTGCCAGCAAAGCCAGTGGCCCTGCTCCCGGAGCCCGGCCCAGCGGCCTCTCACCAGCCTCTTCTTGGCCTGCAGATCCTGATGATCTCCCCGCAGTCCGTGCCCTGCTTCACCAGACGCTCTACCATCCGGACCAGACTCCACAGTGTACCCCCTCAAGCTCCCAGGACCCCACCTAGCCGGGTTTGGCCACTTAGCTGCTGAAGGAGCCTTCTGAATAACCCCCATCCTCCCCCCCAGAGTGATCCATGATCTTGGCAGGATGGGGGATGTCTATTACTGAGGAGCCCCACCTGATTCTCAGCATGGAGAGACAAGGCAACCCTGAGAGCCTTTGATAATGCCCCGTGGTCGCTGCCTGGATCCTAGGGTCCCAGGCTTGTCAATCATCCAGGTCCCGTGCTTCTTTCCTCTTGTTCCTATTCTCATTGCAGAAAACAGATGTGTTTGTGAGAAAAGGCGGCAAACGCTTTCCATGGTGCCAGCACCTGAAAGGACAGCAGGCTTCAGGCCTGAGGGCTAAGGGAGCAGCGGAGGTGAGCCCCACGCCACTCCTGCTGAGTGCTGACTTGAGAAGCAGCTCCAGCCAGCTGACACCAGTAATTACTGCAGGGGTGGCAGAGTACTTGCTTAAGGCCATCTTTCAGGACATCTTCTGTCTCATCTTCCTGTTTTCTTCCAGTTACTGAAGCAGCTAGGTCAGGGCTTTCTCGTTCTGTCATTCTCTCTCCTCTCTCTCTCTCTCTCTCTCTCTCTGGCTTGGTGGTGGTGGTTGGGGTTGGTTTTTGTTTATTTGTTGTTTCGTTTGTGCATGTGTGCTGCACATGCTAGCCAAGCACTCTGCTATTCAGCTGCACCTTGGCCCTGTCATGTTCTAAAAATTTGTTTGGTTTGGTTTTTTGAGACAGGGTTTCTCTGTGGTTTTGGAGGCTGTCCTGGAACTAGCTCTTGTAGACCAGGCTGGTCTTGAACTCACAGAGATCTGCCTGCCTCTGCCTCCTGAGCACTGGGATTAGAGGCGTACGCCACCACTGCCCAGTTGTTTTGTTTGATTGGTTGCTTGTTTGAGATAGGGTTTCTCTGTGTAGCCTTAGCTGTCCTAGAACTCTCTCGGTAGACCAGGCTGGCCTCAAACTCACAGAGATTCACCTGCCTCTGGCTGCCAGGTGCTGGGATTAAAGGTGTGCGCCACCGCTGTCTGGCTGTTCTAACTATAGTGCTGCTTTCGAGCTCCCCAAGTGTGTGTGTGTGTGTGTGTGTGTGTGTATGAATGACACCTGACACTTGTCTCCCATGATGGTGCACCAGTGTAATACCAGTACATGGCAGGAAGATCCTAAACCAAGGCCAGCCAAGTTTCCATAGCAAGTCTGAGAACAGCATGGGTCACGTTTGGAGATCTTACCTTAAAAACTCAAGCAACATAGGTGAGCAGCCTTTGATGGATTGTGGCTGTACATTTCCCATGCACACATGTATGGAGGCCAAAAGAGGATATGCAGCCTCCTGCCTTCTTCCCCTCCACTTTATTCCCTTGAGACAGGGTCTCTCACTGAGCCCGAGCTTGCTGCTTCGTATAACCGCTGCTCAGTGAGACCAGTGATCTGTCTGTGTCTGCACTGCAGAGTGCTGGGGTTACAAGCATCTGAGCAGCATTTTTATATGTATAACTAAGTTTATGTTCATTGGTGTTTTGCCTGCATGTATGTTAGTATGAGGGTGTCCGAAGCCTTGGAACTGGAGTTACAGACAGGTGTGAGCTGCCATGTGGTTGCTGGGAATTGAACCCTCTAACATGGTGCTAGGGCTTGAATTCGGGTTCTCATGCTTGCGTGGCAAGTGATCTTCCCCACTAAGCCATCTCCTCAGCCCTCAGGGAAGTAAAATAAAATGGAGATGTCAGAGTCCATTGCTCACAATGGAAGTAAATACTGGTTTGTTACATTGCATGTGTTTTGTGCAGCACACACAGTGTAAAATGTACTACACAAGCCTGTGGTCCAGCTTGGGAGAGGGACTCATTCACACTTTCCCTGTGGGTCTGAGGGCAGCGGTACTGTGGGCTCCTGGAGGTAAGAAGGAAGACACCAGAGAAAAACTTAGAGAAACGGTGTTTATTCAAATGCAGAAGCAGGCTAAGGGCCTGCTGTGGGCCAGGACTGCCATTACAGGAGCAGTAGGAGGCAGACAGGGGGAGGAGCATAGGTCTTAAAGCAAGGTGATGAGGGAATCGGGATTGAGACCAGGTACCGTGGCTGTTATGCTGTTCCTGGTTCCTCTTTGGTGTACCCTTGGCTTAGCATTGACTTCCCATGTGAGGGACCCAGTTTCCTAGCTTGGGTTAGATAGACCATTGTCTCTTCCCCTAACCAGGATTTGAGAGTCAGCCCAGCCACAAAGACGCTCAGACATCTGCAGCCCAGAAAGGGTAATAACTAAAAGACTAAGAGTCCCACTTACTTGTCACCCCCACCCAACTGTAAGCAGATCAAAGGGGCAGGGCCCAGGCTGGGAATCTGGCTGTGATAGAAGAGCCCTAGAGGTGGGAGATCCAGGTAGGGGTAAGGACAACAGCGGAGTGCGTGGGGTGGGACCTCAGGCAGATGGAGGCAGCATGTGACCTTGACCCCCAGGGCCAGGACCAAGTGTAGAGCCCATTTTCTGTGGCTCCTTTTGTGTGACTGACTTGGCTGTGCTCTCGGGGAGGGATAAGAGACTGGGGAACCAGACCTCGGACTCAGGGACTCTCAGTAGACCCTCCTGGGGCAGAGGGCAGCTATGGAGAAGCAGAGACGGGGTGGCAACTGCAGGGTGGTGAGAAAAGAGACTAATGCAGTGGTCTCCAGGTGCCCTGTCAGGAAAGGTCCCACTCCACACCACTCTTCCCCTAAGGCAGTGTCGCCCTGGGGACTGGCTGAGACAGTGGTCACTGGCCAGGCTCTTGGTACAGAGGCAGGAAGGGCAGCTCCGAGAAGGGGGCTTTCAGCCGAAGCACTCCACGGTCCAGGTCAATGCAGCACTGCCGGGGGACCCCGGATGTGTGGTCACCTCCCTGCCACCTCACACCTGCTCCCCTGCTCGGGTGCCCCTGCCCCTTCAGGGAGGGAACCCGTTCTCCTGGCTTTACTTTGGGGGCTAATTAAGCAACTTCCAAGTTTTGCACCTCTCCGTCTTTCTCACCAGCCTGCTCTAGGCTTGTGCCCCGAGCCTCCCACCTCTCCTAGAATTTTGGGTCAGGCTCAAGCATGGGTGCCTTACCTTGAGGGAAAGCAGAGTCTGCAGTCCCAGGCAAAATTCAGGGCTGTCCACATCTGCAAGAACCATTAGAAAATGAGACTGCATCTGTGACCACTGACGCCCACCTCCCAACATGTCCCTTTCCTTCCCAGTCCACCCCCCGAAGTGGAGAACAGTGGAGTGGCTAATGTGAGCATCTCGGGATGATGCACTGATGGGCTGAAATCCTCTCTCCGTGTCCCACGCGGAAGTGGGGGGCTGGAGGACTTACCCACCACTTGGGCTGAGCACGCCACAGTCCCCTGCCCCAGCTCCAGCTCTAGCTCTTCCACCTGACTTGGTGGCCCAGGGGCCAGGTCCCCACTTGGGGCCTTTGGGGGCCTCTTCCCTAACCTGTGGGTAGAAAACAAGAGTTATAGCCACCACAGCCCACAATTCCAGATTCCCACAATTAAAAAAACCAATACTACCTATGTTCTCTTCCCGTCCCTGACTCAGGGGAGGCTTGATCCTTTCCTGCCAGGGCAACAGTATGTGCTGAAATATAGTTTGTGTACCATCAAGTTCACTCTTGGTTGCGAGTTTTGGTGGGGGAAGGCTGTGCTTTATTTATATATTTGTGTATTTTTTAACAGTCTGGTGGAGCTTAGGCTATCTCAGAAGTCTTATGTAGCCAAAGCTGGCCTTGGGTTCCTAGTTCTTCTTTACCTCCAGATGTTAGGGTTGGAGGCTTGAGCCGCTGGACTCAGCAAAATTCACTCTGTAAAAGTATGCAGTTCAGAGCTAGGCATAGTGGCACACACCTTTTGTCCCAGCTCTTGGGAGGCAGAAGCACATGGATCTCTTGAGTTTTGAGACCTGATCTCAAAAAACAAAAAGTGTGCAACTCAATGGTATTCAGTACTATGTCAGAGTGCAACCATTTTCATAGATACTTTGACGATATTTCATCATTCCAAAAGAAACCCCATCCTGAATGCAAATGTGGTCTGTTGTCTCAACACAAACCCTCACCCAGGAGGCGGAGGCAGAAGGTTGTTGAATCTGAGGCCAGGCTGGGCTACATAGTAAGACCCTGTATCAAAAAACAAGCAAAGGAGGGAAGGAAACCACATCCCCTGTCCACTGGTTTAGGCTGCACTCTTACCCCAGGCGCCTGAGGCATCCAGTAGATATCTGATTGTGCTGCGTCCCTGTGTCCACCGCCACTCGAAGCATCTGGTCCTGGCACTAAAAATCAAGAGTGTGATGAGTCCCCAAGGAGGGGACTGGGTTTGAGCCCTGGACCCTCTGGGCTGTTCGATCCTTCCCTTTTAGAGATGGGTAAAGGGAGTGAACAAGTTTTCAAAAGTGAAACTGGCCCTCCCTAGAGAGAATCAAAGGAGTTGTATTCCACATGGCAAGTCCAGTAAGGTGAGCAAGATCTGGGCCGGAACGACAATCTTAATTGCTTAGAGGAATCCATGGGAGTTTGAGGGCCTCCTCCCCCTGGTCAAAGAGCTGCAGGTCAGGAGGAGACAGGCATAGCTCTTCTGCACACATTCAGATTTGAGTGGCCAGGAGTGCCCTGGGATACTGACAAGCATCAGAGGGAACATGTGGATGCATACACATGAGGAAATAGTTTTTTTCTTTTTTTAATTAATAAATTTGTTTTAGTGCATGTGTGCAAAGGCATCAGGTCCCCTGGAACTGGAGTTACAGTTGTGAGGTGCCATGGGTGATGGGATTTGAACCCGGATCTTGTGGAAGAGCAGCTAGTGCTCTTAACTGCTGAGCCACCTGTATTTTTCTCAAAAGAAGAGTATTTGTGTGTGTGTGTGTGTGCGTGTGTGTGCTGTCTGCATATATCCCTGCAGGCCAGAAGAGGGCGCCAGGTCTCAATACAGATGGTTGTATGCCACCCTGTGGTTGCTTGGAATTGAATTCAAGACCTCTGGAACGCCAGCTAGTGCTGAGCCATCTCTCCAGCCCCCAGAAATAGTTTCCTTGTTCCAGACATTGAGCATCTTTATAAGAATTATGGCTAACGGCTACTTTAGTGAGTCCCATCCCTCGGCAGTGTAATAGAAATAAAATATGATTCCACCCTGTAAGGTCTATAGAAGGACTGGGGACTGAGTGCCTCAGAGCTTGGAGAGAACAGAGAACTGTTCCCTGCTGGACAGAGACAAGCTTTCAAGGAGGAGGCAGCATCTGAGCTGAGCCTTAAGAAGTAAGACTTGAGCAAGGGAAGGTTGGAGATTAGGAAATAAGACCGGGCAGAGAGGCAGTGGGCATTTATTGGAATGTTCCACTAGCAAGCAAGTGTTTCAGAGATGAGTCTGGGGCTGCAGAGATGATGGCTCAGTGGTTAAGAGTGTTTGCCAGTCTTTCAGAAGACCTGAGTTCAGTCCTAGGTTGGGCAGCTCACAACGGCCTGCAACTCTAGCTCCGGGGAAGCCAACAGCCTCTCTGGTCACTGCACACACACACACACACGGCATCACAAACACATACACATAAAATTTAAACATCTAAGTTTTCACCTTGGAACATGAATCTTGTATTCGTGCATCCCTTCCCCTGTATGTGAGTAAGGAATACTCGCATTTAAATATACTTCGATGAAAGCATGGGAGCACAGTATTGCTGACGGATGACATTACACAGAGAAGGCAGGAGCAGGGCTAGAAAAGGAGAGAAATCACTTCTTCCCTGCTTTTGACGGCCGAGGCAGAAAGGAGAGCTGGTGGAGTGAGGAGCAGGCTCAGCAGGTGAGTGAAAGGGCCCTGGCAGACCTCTTACCTTGCAGTTGACGAGAAGAGCTGGAACCTGTACCCCACTGGTCCTGTTGCTGTCATGGCCGTGGATCAGTGCCTGCACCAGGGGAGACTCCCCCTGAAGCCGCCTCTGGTTTCCCTCCACCAGGCGTCTTTGGATCACGCTGTGTGGCTGCTGGCTCCAGCACAAAAGAGTGAAAGCAGATCTAAGCCCAGGATTGGCTACTTGCTTCCCCACCTTATGCCTTACAAACCAGAGGATGTTTGCTCCTGCTCCACCCCAAGCCAGAGGAGCAGTAAGAAAGTAGCTGAGGGATGGCTCAGCAGGTAGGAGCACTGGCTGCTATGCTGAAGGACCTGGGCTCCATTCTTAATACCTAATTCCAGTATGGTACAAGCCTTGCAGTGCTAGAATGGGTCTGTCAACCCATCACTTGGGAAATGGAGGGAAGAAAATCAGGGCTTCTTTGAGGCCAGCAGAGCTTGAGGGAAAGTTTTTGTTTGTTTTGTTTTGTTTTTTGTTTTTTTTTTTTTTAAAGATATAAGCAGAGTGTTCAGGGTAGAACAATGAGCCATCATTCTTGAGCTCTCATCCACAGCCAGCCTTACCCATCCAATCACAGCCTCTATTCTGCCAGCTCCCCTTCCTTTCTTTGTAGGGACATCTGATGATGCATCCAGACCCAAACAATTCTCTTGGCCCACTGGACACCTTTGTCCACTCACAGAAAAGCCTGCCTCCAAGATCTGTCTACACTGACTTAGCTAAAGCCCTGCTGCCACAGTGTGGGCCTCAAGTCAACATATATAAAATTTTAAGACACACACACACACACACACACACACACATGTAGACAGACAGAGCAGGAGGGAGGGAGGAATGGATATAGGTAGATAGATATAGATATAATTTCATGTGCATGATTGTTTCTTCTATATGAATGTCTGTGCACCGTATACATATCTGCGTCCATGACGTCCAGAAGAGGACATCAGATGCCCAGAACTGGACTTACACCGTCATGTGTGTGCTCTGGAAGAGTGCTCTTAACAGAGCCTTCTCTCCTGCCCTAAACCAACAGCTTTATTGACATTTGAAGCCTGTCCAAATGCAGAGCCTCAGATCTCCTGAATCAAGAATTTTGTTCATGTTTTGTTGATTTCTGATGCGAATTTTTTGTTTGTTTGGTTTTGGTTTTTTGAGGTGAGGTTTCTCTGTATTGCTTTGGAGCCTCTCCTGGCACTCACTCTGTAGGCCAGGCTGGCCTCGAACTCACAGAGATTCACCTGCCTCTGCCTCCCAAGATCTAGGATTAATGGTGTGTGCCATCAAGCCCAGCTCAGACTCTAATTTTGTTTCAATAAGACTCCCGCACATTCAGGTGTGAGAAATGCTTAAGTAAAATGTAGAACTACTTACTGTACAAGCCAAATGTGGCATGTACCCCCATATTTCCCATGTTCAGAAGACAGAGGTGGGAGAACAGCCATGATTGTAAGGTCACTCTAGGCCACGTTTAAAAAGGAAGGAAGGAAAGAAAGTAACTGGTGTTGAGGGTACACGGCTTTGATCTCAGGAGGCAGAGAGGTGAATCTCTGTGAGTTCAAGGACAGCCTGGGCTATAGAGTAAGACCCTATCTTGAAAATAAAATTTAAGTGTTACTCTCCTGTATAAAAAGCATCACACATACACACATATACTCACTGGTATAGTGACAGCCTGTTTTTGTTTGTTGTTTGCTTGCTTGTTTTGGTGTGTATGTTTGTTTTGAGACAGGGTCTCTCTATGTAGCTAGCCTGGACTGTCTGGGAATTTGATGTATGAACCAGGCAGATTTTGAACTCACAGAGATCTACTTTATTTTTCCTCTCAAGTGTTGGTATTAAACTCACTATGCCAGTTCTGTTTTTTCTAAACTGATCCCTAGATGACCTGGCTGCTGTGTGGCTGCATAGCTCACCGCACACTCTCCTGCTCCAATGACAGTCCTGTGCCTGGCCAGCCTGTTCCACCCCAGGCTCACCTTTCTGCTGGAAGGCACCCCTCCCAATTCTCACTAGGCCAGTCTGAATGCACAGCTGCTCACACTACCAAATAGCCGGGCCTTGCTTCTGACCCTGACTCCACCTGAAGGACTGGCCTCTGGGTGATTCTGTCCTCCCTCTTCCTCTCATAGCTCATTTGGTCAGGATTCTCACAGATGTTATTTTTGGATTCCACTCCGCCGCAGCCTGGAAAGGCCTTCAGATCTGTCTTGTTCATCTTTCTGTCCCAGGGCCTGTTTCCGAATATAGGTGCCTCCCTGGCTTGGGGACTTGGGGTGGTTCAGTCATAGGAAACTTGCCTAGTATGTACAAGAACCCATCCCCGGTACTACAAATACAGGAAAAGGAAAAAGACACAAAGGAAGATGGTTGGTTTTAGTCTAGTAGGGCACCACACTTCTATAATCACAGCACTCAGGAGGCAGAGGCAGGAGGATCGCCACAAAGATGAGGTCAGCCTGGTCCACTTGGTTCATGCCAGCCTGGGTTAGATAGTGAGACCTATTTCCAAAATAAAATAAAATCGTGTTGTCTATAAACTCAAACTGCTGTAAACCCATCTGGACTACGTAGCAAAGTTGAGCCAACAAGACTACAGAGTGAGAGTCGGAGAAAATTTAAAAGGTTTCCTGGAGAATGGCTGTAGCCTCCCAGGCTCCACACACTCCTCCACCTGACCCTGGGAGCCTGGGATTGTTTTTCCATCCTCGGCCTCATGAGACCCTGGCAGCAAGTTCTAGCTCTAGGAAAGTGCAGCCAGCTCAGGGCCCAAGCAGTTCCCATGCCTTCTCTCCACGTTGACTCTGCTCCTCTCTGTTGGGAAGCGTGTCCCAGAGCTGTGCCAAGCAAGGAGACAGGGATCCCAGACTGTTGCTTCTTCATCCCCAAAGTCATGGGGCCTACGTACTGTAGATCAGTGCCAATGGCAAGGCAAGGGAAAGATGAGCAGTCCTGACATCAAAAGGCTCGGCCAGCTACCCTCAGGTGGCATACCCCACAGGGTGACTTCTGGGCAAGACTGCTGTGGGATTACACAGAGACGCACAAGGCCAGACCCCTGGGTGCCAGGGAACCTGCTTTCCTGACCCCTGCCTACTCCTCAGCTGTCTCCTGTGTTCTTTGGGGCTGCTGGGATGGGGTTAGGAGATTCCTAGCGGGAAGATGCAGGCGAGGAGTAGAACAGGAAGGTAAATCCAGGTCAGTCAAAGCAACAGAGAGAAGTGTTTGCCCCCAGGGACAAACAGAATGGAATTCTGTATTCTCTGGACCCTCCAGAATACACGCCAACTCAAAAGCTAAATGGAATCATAGCTAGAAGATTCCCGATGTCATTTCCCTCTGTTGCTATTAGCCAGGCACTGTCCCAGTGCAAGGGATGAAGAAGCCCAAGTAACCCTGTCCTTACCAGACTGCTGCTCACAGCTTTATCCCTTCCTAAGAGATGGAGAAACACAGTCATAACTTTCCGAAGCATAGCCAGAATTAGGTTCCAAACGGGGTGGCTCCAAAACCCATGTATGTCCTTAACCATTATGTCTCTGGGGGCCAAGAGCCCCTCAGCTCCTCACGGTAACCCCAGACTCCTTTCCCTCTGGGGCCAGAATTGCTGCAGTGGTTTAGAAGGGAAGGACAGAAGGACACAGACATGGAGACTGATGGTCCAGGTCAGAGCCATGTGAACCTTGATTGCCCAGAAGGATCCTCAATACATTGATGCTGGGAAAGGGTTTTTTAAAAAGGGGGGGTTTGGGGGAGTAGGGAGTGGAGAGGCAGGTGTGAGGAGTGAGATAAATTCATAGGCAGTTTGGAAGGAATCTAAAAGCAGGGAGTCATAACCCTAAGCTGACGGAGGAATCCTCCAGGCCTTGCTGTCCTCATATGCCCATTCCACAGAATTCCCAGGACTTCTAGGCGTCTACTGAACAGCATAACTCTCCATTGTCCCCAGGGTAAGCCTTAGGGGAAAACGGTGGAAACCAAGTTATGAGCCCAGGGAACCTCAGTGCCACCAGACCAAGAAACATCCCCAATGGAGGATCTGGGGAGGGTTGGGGGCTGTAAGTTGGCTGAAACATCTCTCTCTTCTCAACAGGAGAGAGGAATCTGAAGGTTGAGGCTCTACCTACCCTCTATACCACCCTCCCCACACCCCAGAAGGATATGGAGAAGAGAGAAAGGGCCAGGGGCCTCACCAGGTCCTTGGAGGTGCCGAGCCTCTTGAGGCTGTCCAGGGGTAGCAGGTCAGCCGAGTCCTTGTGCAAGAACTGGGTAGCCTGTTTGAGCCGACGCTGCTGGCTCAGGTGGGCTCGGTCCCGAAGCGAGGCTTCCTGGCCCCTCCTGGTGTCTCCCTCGTCTCTCCTGGCCTCCTGCCCAGTGCTCATGGTCCTATAGGGTAAGCAGACACGGGTGTCTGGGAATCCCTCTCTACCTGCTCTTCTCCTCCTCTACCTCCCTTGCAGCTTCTGCCTTTCTCTGTCTCCGGACTGCAGCTCTCCTTCTGACAGGAGGGTCTCAGCGGGAAGAAAAGGAAAAATAAATAAATAATAGGCAGGAGCAGCCGCGTCAGACACCAATTTTCAGAGATTGCAGTAGAGGGAGCGAGGTTCCGGCTGGAAAAACCCAGCCCGGGAGGAGAGGGAGGGCTGGAAGGGCCTGCAGCTGGTAGGCTGCAAAGCATCCAGCTCCGGGGTCCTGTTCAGAGTGGGCGGTGGATGGTGAGTGCGTGTGTTGTAAACTGTCAGGAGGCTGTGCCAAGTCATCGGAGAGGGAGTGAGTGCCATCGTGTGGGGGTGCGTGTTTGGTATGCACTGGGAGGCAGGCAAGCGTGTCCCTGTCCCTTGTGTATTTGTGGACTTGGCTCTGTGACCCCTCCCAGTCTCTGGACGGTTAGCCACCCAGCTCTTTCTTCCTCCTGCTGCCTTCTGCTGCCAGGGTTTGAGACGATGGTCAGAGAGGGACAGTGTGAAGGTGTCCTCCCTTCTCCTCCTCCCTCTGCCATCAGAAGACCTTCCATGCTTTACTTCTCCCAGTCAGACGGTCCCAGCATCTCTCTCAAATGGCAAGAATACCAGGAATGTCCTAGTAACACAAACCTCTGAGATCTTCCTTGTTAGAGGCTAAAATCCGAGTCATACAGTGAAGAAAGCTGGGGAATGTTCTGGGCCTTATGTGCCTCCTCCCCTGGGTTAGTCTGTGTCTTTGCCAGTGTCTCACCTTGGTCACTTCCCAGCCTTGCTGTGTGATGTTATAGTTACAGAATCCAATCCAGGCCTGGTGATACAGTCCTGGAATCCCAACTACTTGGGAAAGTGAGACAGGAGGATCAGGAGTTCAAAGCCTGCCTGGACTACAGTGTGAGTTTAAGCCCAGGCTTTCAGTCTAGTGGTATCTCAATAAAAGCAAGGGCCTAGAGAGATGGTCCAGAGCTTCCGAGTGCTTACCACCCTGATTTCCGGTGTCTCACAGACATGTGTGTCTAGCACGTACATGGCATACTCACACACACACACAGGAATAAAAAATGAAGTGTCGATATTAAAGTGATGATACATTGGAGTTGGGTGGGACTCTTGCAGTATGGCTCCCAGCACCCCAGTCAGGCAGCTCAAAACACTCTGCAACTCCAGATCCAGATCTGACGCCCTCTTCTGGACTCCAAAGCACCTGTATGCACACATGCCCATTTCCACACATAAAAACAAACACACATTTACATGTAATTAAAATTTTTTCAGAGAACTCTTTTTCTCTTTTTAAGTAAGATAGTAGAAGGCTTTCCTAACAAGTACAGGCCCTGTTCAGTCCCGACTGTACAACAGCAACACAAAAACAGTTACAAAATCCGCAAATATCCGCAGGGGTATAAGACAGAGGATTGCTCAAGCCCAAGATTTCAGGGTCAGCTTGGGCAATAAGTTGACCAACAAATAATAGGAAATCATTTCTAGGGCTGGAGAGATGACTCAGCAGCCCAGAGCACTGGTTGCTTTTGTAGGGGACCCAGCTCAAATGCCAGCACCAGCACATGGCAGTTCATGATTTAATTCCAGTTCCATGCACGGGTCTAACACTCTCTTCTGGCTTCTTCAGATACCAGGAATGCACGTGTTTCACAAATATACATGCAGACAAAACATCCATACTCATAAAACAAACTAATAAAACTTTAATAATCACTTCTAAGGAGTAATTACTTTAATCTCTAATGAAGAAAAAGAAAGAAGTTTCCAGCATCCCCCTGTAAGAGTCTTGTCTCTCTGGCATGGTCTTAGCCTTTAATGTCTGTGCCACATCTCTCCAGTCAACTCTGTAACTTTTCTTTTTTCTTTTTTGAGACAGGACCTTTCTATGCAGCTCTCACTATGTAGAACAGGATGGCCTTGAACTCTCAGAGCTCCTCCTGCTGCTGACTCTCTGAGTACTGGGATTAAAGGTGTGTGCTACCATTCCATGCTTTCTTATTCTTTTCCTCCTCCTCTTCCTCCTCCTTCTCCCTCTTTTTCTTTAGATTCATTTCACATGTATGAGTGTTTGCTCGCATGTATATGTAGATGTGTGAGCCTGGTATCTCAGAGTTCAGAAGAGAACATTGAATCCCTTGGATCAGATGATTGGGAGCCATTATGTGGATGCTGGGAATGGAAGCCAGGTCCCCTGCAAGAGCAACAAATGCTCTTAACCACTGAGCCAACTCTGGCTCCCCTATAGCACCCAGAAGGGATGGGGTGGACGGAGGGTCCCTTCCCAAGACACTTGAGGGATATGTTCTGTCTCTCACTTGTTTCACCTTACGGTTCTTGTCAATATCAAAGTGGGTGTTTCTAAATTCAGAAGGTGCCGGGTTCTCCTCTGAGTGATGCTCCCTAACACGTAGGAACTCGTTTTTACTGAGTATCTGTAAGGCTCTATAGTCACTAAACTAGTCCTGAGCACACAGGGGTATGGTGGTTACTTTGATGTCAACCTGCCACAAATTAAAATTACCTGAGTAGGAAGTCTCAACAGAAGTGTCCTGACTGCCTTGATCGATGTGGGAAGATCCACCCTAATTATGAGCAGCACCTCAGGCCAGCAGCTCAGATGAAACAGGTCTAGGCGGAAGGAAGAGTCTCCCTTTCGCTTGCTGGGCCTCCCTCTTGTGTCTGGTTGGTCTGCCCTAGTGCAGCTGCTAGCGTCACTGACAGCAGAGCGAGCATTCCCAAGCTTTAGTTGTAGAATAGGGACCAGTACCGGCTCCAGGAAACCTCCCAGCTTCTGGTGCCAGATTGGGACCACTGAGGCACTAACCCCAAGCACCAAGTCATTTCTTGGTTCTCAACTCTCAGGCGTGGTTTTGCTGTTGTTGCCATTTTAAAGCTGACTCAATGCAGTCAGGTGTGTGTGTGTGTGTGTGTGTGTGTGATCATTCCTTTGGTTGTGTCCTCTAGAGGACCCTGATTAGATGCAGAAACCAGGCAACAAGCAACTAAATGTATAACGTCAGGTAGGTTGTTCTAAGTAATGAGGAAAATAAAGAGCTTAAGAAAATAGACACAGCCGGGCAGCAGTGGCGCCTGCCTTTAATCCCAGCACTCGGGAGGCAGAGGCAGGCGGATCTCTGTGAGTTTGAGGCCAGCCTGCTCTACAGAGAGTTCTAGGACAGACAGAGCTACACAGAGAAAACCTGTCTGGAAAAACCTAAACCAAAGAGGAGAGAGAGAGAATAGTCACAGAGATGGGCGCTCTAATAGACCTGAGGGACACCGCCTATCCCGTGTCACAGAGAACAGAACCCTGGCTCCCACAGGCCTTCTAAGCTCACTGTAGAGCTGTGGGCTTTGTGTTTGAGGCAATGGTAATTGCCAAGCAAAGGTAAGATTTTCTTGCCTGCCCAACCTCATGGCCCTCAGGTTGAAGATCTTCTAGAAAGTTTTGGGCCTTTGTCTAAAACAAAATTCCACTTTGGCTTGTCATTTGGTGTCAAATAATTATTACAGATTACGTATGCATATACACATCTTGGTTACTTTTCTTCCTCATCATAAAATACTTGACAGAACTTCTTATGAAGGAAGGATTCATTTTGCTCATGGTTGAGGATACGGGTCACCCTGTCCTGGAGCACATCATAACAGGAGTGGAAGACAGACGGTCAGGCTGCTCCTTCAGTCAGGAAGCGGAGAGATGAAAAATGCGGGACCCAACACCATGGAATGGTTCCACCCATATTCAGGGTGGTCCTTCTTTCCCCAATTAACCTTTCTGGAAACTCCCTCACACACTGTCTGAGTCACTGTTCGATTGCTGTGAACAGACACCATGGTCACAACAACTATTTTAAGAGAAAGCGGTTAATTGTGGGCTTGCTTGCACTTCCAGAGGTTTAGTCCATTTTCATCGCGGTGGAGAGCATGGCAGCATGCAGGCAGGCAGTGGAGTGGTAGCTGAGAGCTACCTTCTCATCCACAGAGAGAAAGACTGGGCCTGGCATGGGCTTTTGAAACCTTAAAGCCCACCCCCTGCGACATACCTCCTCCAACAAGTCCTATTCACTCATCCTTCTGATCCTTCTAATCCTTTCAAATAGTCCCACTCCCTAGTGACTACTCATTCAAATATATGAGCCTATGGGTGTCATTTCTATTAAAACCAGCACACACATGCCCAGAGTTGTGTCCCTTAGCTGACTCCATATGTATTAAGTTAACAAATAAGATCTCTGTCTCTCTCTCTCTCTCTCTCTCTCTCTCTCTCTCTCTCTCTCTCTCTCTCTGTGTGTGTGTGTGTGTGTGTGTGTGTGTGTGAGTGTGTGGTGTGTGTGTTTATATAAGACAGTGTCTAACTAACCTAGGATGACAGATGACCTCAGACCTCAGACCCACCATGTAACCAAGGATGATCTTGAACTCGTGACCCTCCTGCCTCTAACTCACTGCAGCTATATTCTAAGTCACTGCCCTCTTGTTCAAACCACAGAAGAGATTTTTTGTTTTGTTTTGTTTGGTTTGGTTTTTGAAGTCAGAGTTTCTCTGTATAGCCCTGGATGTCCTGGAACTCACTCTGTAAACCAGGCTGGCACCGAACTCACAGAGATTCCCTGGCCTCCGTCTCTCAAGTGATGGGATTAAAGGCATGTGCCACCATAGCCACCCAGCTTCAGAAGAGATGTAAAGACATTTTTTTTTTTGCCTTTAAATATCTTTACACCCTTTCTATATGTGTTTCTTAATGCTGAATGGTGTTATTCTTGACTCTGCTCATAGGATAAGTTGAGCCTGTGGGCTCAGTGAACCACACCCCACCCACCCACCCCCAGGCAAGTACTCTGCCACATAAGGAAATTCCCAGAATATTCTAGGTAGAATGGGTTATTCAGAGCTGGACAGACAGCTCCCTTGAGCCACTGGAGGGTTGAGGGCAGCTA